TTGAAATCAGACAAAAAAGAACAGTATCATCAGCATACATTAAAATATTTGAATACTTCAATATTTTTGGAAGGTTATTTATGTATAATGGGAAAAGCAATGGGCCCATATATTTATACTTAGCACAAAAAGTGGGAGAAATTAGTGTTTAGTAAATTATTCCTTTGTTTGAACAATGGTTCTTGGCAATATAACTTATAATGTTGTAAAGCCTGTTAATTTCACTTTTAAATGGTGCCACATTTGTAAGGAACATGCATTTATTAGATGAGCAGTAGAGCAGAGAATGTGGGTTGTAGTCATAAACATTTTGCCAAATCGTCGCTGACAACTTATTTTGTTGTTGCTATTGACATTAGTTTTGAGCTTCTAGTACACCCAAGTGCTGCTAACCAGGTGCCCAGTCTAACATTTATTATTAAGAAGCATTGTTACAACAAAGAAATAATCTACCAAACACATTTTTAAAACTTTTTTTTGTGAATATAATATCAAATTGGTCAATAGCAATAGTTGCTGTTACACTTGAAGTTCTACTAGTCCTAAATAGATAATGGAATATAAAAATGCACGGTAAGCCAAAGCTTGAGATTAAACTTTCTGGCCAAAGGAGCAATGTTTTAGTGGTGGCTATGGGCCCCACAGCACCCCTCTTAGCACCGCCCCAGTTCACAGTAAGAAGTTTGTATTTAAAACTACAGCTAGAAAGCTTCATAAAAAGAACCCATCCATGGCAATCAATCATCAACGCTTCATTTTAAACTACATAAAATATAGCACCATGCATATCGCCCGCCCCCTTAAAAAACAAAGTTTTAATCTAAGATCATTTAATGATGAAAACAGATGGAAAAGTCAATTTTTTAAAAAACGTAAACGCTTCACATCTGCTTTTATTTTAAGGTCCAAACCACAAAGCTGACCACTTATATTGGTGTGAGTTTTATCACCATGCTTTACAGCTTTCTGATGGAGGTTAAATACACTCTGCCTCACAGATCCATGCTGATAAATTCAAGCTTTTAGACCCTGTTTTAGAGCACTGAGGGAGCTGAGGTGTTGGGTTCACACAGATACGACCCAAAGGGATTGCTGACCCAGCCTCTAGCCTCCGCATTTACAAAATGATCTCTGAGAATGTTTTCATTCAGACCCCATTTGATCCCCCATCTTTGGTCGGCAAATATTCTAAAGTCTGACCAATCAAAGAGGAGAAATGTGCTAAAAAACTCCCACTTAAAAATAAAAAGAAAAATAAAGCCGAGGGATTAAACAGGCAAATATGAGGCAAAACACTTTAATTTCCAAAATTTAAAAATCCCAAGTTTTAAAGAACTGAATTAACTTTTGATCCGGCTCAGTGTTAATGTCTAGCCCCACAAAATAAAGCCTATTTTCACAAAGTCCCTAATGGTAGCAAAGGAACAGATGAAGGATCCTGATAAAGTCAAACTGGATAACTGAAACTAAAGGTTTCTCACAAGGTTGACAAGGTTTTTCGACAGACTTTCTGAGCAGCAGAGAACAAAGAAAAAATAAATAAAGGACACAAACAGAAACATATTACTTTTCATTTCTGTGTGGCATATTTGTTGTTTTTATATTTTGTAGCAATGAAAAGGATTTCCTGCTTTCATGAAGTATGAAAGGAACTGGTGGGGTGAAGTTTACGTCTATTTGTTGCAGACGTATAAAAATGGGCATTATTATCCTCTATTGAAGGTGAAAGAGTTTGACTGTCCCTGTGTTCATTTTTTTAATATCTGATATTTTAAAATTTATCACTAAATGATAATTTAAAAATGATTAACTTTTCTTGTCAACCAAATTCAAAATGAATGCCACAGCGGCTCTAACTCAACCAGTTAGACTGTGGTACTAACTG